CAGGCTACTGCGCTGTCCTGGCCACAACGTGTCGTGTGGGGATCGTTGCTGCATGGGCTGGTGGGTATGCGCGACGCGTTGGGTTTTTTTTCACGGGGCATCCCGCAATTACCCACGCAATATGCAAATCTCAGCCAATGGCCGCACACTCACATGATACTTTCGCTTCTCCCCTCGTTGACTATTCGCGTCGAGTGGGCCATTGATACCTGAATATGGCACCATTGCGATCTGAAGGGGCTTCAATGCAGGTCCAGGCCAGCCCGCGATGGCGCAGGCCACTACGAGCGACCTGAGGGCATACCAAAAGGTCTCGAGTCCATAGTCATCGGCTTTCGGAACAGGCGAATGTCGTATGTCAGGCAATTTCCATTCGTCGCATTCTTCGCAATCGTCTCCAGAATGTCAGTGGAGCCCTGGGGATCCAGTTGGGCTTCAGCGAACCCCAAGTAGGTCCCAGAACACAACGCATTAGCAAGCGAGGGTCGACCATTGATCCCACCAGTCTCAAATAAAGCCCCAGAGGACTAACACTTGACAATGTGTCGGGGCTCCTGGGAGCTGGTGCCAGTGGCGAAGCACGATCGAGAACGCTAGAGGCTGCGACGGTCCGAAACGCACGACCTGGCGGGAGACGTAACATGAGCGACAGCACCGCGCAGGTTGCGCCACATCGCTTGCATCACGGCGATGGGGCACACGCAGGTTAGACCACGAAGATTGCACCACAGAGGCTGCACACCAAATGCTAGCCAAGCAGAGTGTCTGGGGGCCCACGTTGGCAGACATCAGAGTGAGGGGGCCAAACGGTCGTGCACTGTCCCCGGGAGCGTGGCTGAAGTGGGGTTCCGCGGTGCGGGCGGTTGTTGTTGTTGTGACTGCTGCTGTTACTGTTGTTGTCGTCGTTGTCGTTGTCGTTGCTGCTGTTGTGGTTTTGGTTGTGGTTGTGGTTGTGGTTGTCGTTGTCGTTGCTGTTGCTGCTGTTGCTGTTGCTGTTGTTGTTGCATTCTCATTTCTGAATCAGAATGTTTCTTAATCCCCCCGGTGACCATTGTATTTTCAATGGCAGTGATCCTTTCGGGGCTCGCACCCAGTTTTTGGCGAGGGACAGTGAGGGGTACCAAGTTGGGCTGTCGGCCCCCAATGTACAACAACGGCGGCTCCCGCCTGATATGTCGTTACGATATGTTCCCAGATCGCGCTCTCGCGCGGGACTTCCTCACAGTGTATGCAGGAATCGTGCTCTCGCGTGGGACTCCCCAACGATTTGTTCAGACGCCGCACCCCTCCTCACACTCACACTCACCAATCACGCTTTCGCTGTTGATTGCCTCACGGTTCATGTGGGAATCGCGCTATCCAAGATTGAGATTTCCCAGCGATGTATTGCAAGACAAGCTTGAGATTGAGATTTGTTTGCAAGATTGAGAATTTCCAACGATTGAAATTGAGAGTTGATTTTCTCACGGTTTATTTGAGATTGTCCAACGATTTATGCAAGTCAATCTTCAGCACCCCCCGCCTGCTCGACCTGGCCGCTGGGGCCCGCCTCCCCGACCCGCCCGCTAGGGTCTCTTTGCCCGATGTGCCCGTCTGTTTCTGCCACGAGCTTTCTGCTCCTCACCCCCCCCTTGCTAATTACTCTCCCTCGTCCTCCATCCCCCTCCCTCTCCCTTGTCCCTTCCTTCCATCCGTCCTCTCTTCCCCTGCCTTAGGGGCTGCACGACATAGACGTTGCAGGTAAGAACGATATACCCATAAACGGGGTACGATCGAACACGAAAAGGGCGGGTATCGAGAGTGTGGGATGTACGTGTTGACTGGCACGCGAGCAGATAGGAGCGAACAAAATTACATGTATTGTTGTCGTCGTCGTTGTTGTTGCTGCTGGTGTTGGTGTTGCTGTTGTTGTTGTATTCTCCTTTCTGAAATAAAACTCTTGTTCTCCCCCCTCCGGGGACCATTTTATGTTTCAGTGGAAATGCCTATCCCGGGGCTCGCATCCTGTTGTTCCTATGAAGGGAAATGTGGTCCCCTGGCACCGGTTTGCAACAACAGCGGCTCCCGCCTGGTACTTCCTTAAGATGCATTCCAAAATCGCGCTCTCGCGCGGGACTTCCTCACAATGGAGGAATCCCGACTCCGCGAGGCAGCCCCTCGCAATTTATGTAGACGCCGCCCCATCGAAACTCAAGAATTATGCTCTCGGCTGTGGCCTTTTCTAGCGACTTACTTAGGAATCGCGCTATCGCTCGAGACCTCCTCGCGATTCAATGCTCACGCTTCAGCAACCTGCGTGCTCGACCTGGCCGCATGGGCGCGCCTTCCCGACCCGCCCACTAGGGTCTTCTCGCCCGATCTGCTCGTTTCGTTCTGCCACGGGCTTTCAGCTCCCAGCCCCCACTCTACTAATTTCTGTCGTGTTCCATCCCCCTCTCTCCCCCTCCATCCGTCCTCTCTTCCCCTATTTAAGGGCTGCGCTACATGCGCGTGGCAGGTAAGCAAGATATGCCCCAAAGGGGCACGATCGAAGACGAACAGGGCAAGTACAGAGGGTTCGGAATACGCATGTTTAGTGGATCAGCGAGCAGATAGGGTCGAACAGACTCAAATTGATTGTTTGTTACTCCTTTCTAAAAAATGATTGTTGTAGAACTCCGGGAACGGTCCCGCGCGCTCTTGCCTCGACGCCAGCTGCAATTCCTGTGAAAACGCAACTGTCGCTCGAGTGCGGGCGTCATTGTAAACGTGTGCCCTTGGAGGTCCGGCTACAACGACAACGGCTCCAGCTCGATATTTCCTTACAGTTTACCCCGAGACACCTTGGCGCTCTCGCTCGAGACATCCTCGCAATTCAGCCAAGTTGGCGGAGGCCCAGCCACGACGACAAGGGCTCCTGCTCGATACTTCCCCACGACTTATTCCGAGAGGCCCTGGCCAAAGAGGCCCCTGAACTCAGGAACGGTGGTCTCGCTGGAGACTTCCTCGCAAATCAGCTAAGTTGGCGGAGGCCCAGCCACGACGACACTGGTTCCCGCTCGATACTTCCTCACGATTTACTCCGGGAGACCCTGGATAGAGAGGCCCCCAAACACAGGAACGGCGCTCTCGATCGAGATCTCCACGCAGCTCAGTCAGTGGCCGGCAAGGAAAATGTTCCCTCCCACAGGGGGCGCGATCGAAGACGAAGTGGGCTGGTATCGAGGGTTGGCGGGTTGGGCTATACAGAATGAATGTCACGCGGGCAAGTAATGGCGACAAAATTTAAATTGATTGTTGTTGAGCTGTCACGTCTGAGGAAAAACGGTTGTTGGTAACCACTTTTTGTTTCCAAGTGGCATGCCCCTCCCAGGGCTCGCACCCTGTTTTTGATAAGAAAAGTGTGGTGTCACCGAACTGCGTGATTGGCCCCCGAACAATAACAACAACGGTCCCAGCCTGATCGTCTGATGCTTCCTCACAATCTATTCCGAAATCGCACTGGTCCTGGAGACTTCCTTGACATTTACTCAGGAGTCGCGCTCTCGCGTGGGGCTTCCTCGCAATTTACTCAGACGCCGCGCCCTCGGCACTCAGGAGTCACGCGAGAATTATGCTATCGTTTTGGCTTTTCTCTCGATTCTCTCGGAAATCGCGATGATGATGGAGAAGATGGCGGTGATGATGATGATGTTGCTGATGACGGTGATGATGACGACGATGATGGTAACAGTGATGATGGCGATGAGGATGTGGTGAAGTGATGCTGATGATGGTGATACTGACGCTGCTGCCGATGCCGATGCTGATGCTGATAATTATGATGCTGATGCTGAAAAAGATGCTGATTATGATGATGGCAACCTTGATCTCGGAGAGAACGCGTTTCACGGGCGCTCGCCTCGGGAACATTCGGTGGCGCGTCTCGGACCGGGGGGGGGGCCCCCCTTCCCGCCCCAACACAGCGCCGTCGATCAAAACCAGAGGGGACTCCCCTCCCCCCCAAATCACCCCCTTCCCGAACCCCCCCCCCCCTTTCCAAGGAGGGGGGGGGGGTTCAACCCCCCCCCCCCTGGCGCCGGCGCCGGCGGCCGCCAGCAGCGCCGGCGCGGGGACGCAGCAACGGTAACCATGACCACCACCACCACCACTACGAACACCACCACCGCCTCAACCCACCACCACCACCACCAACCCACCACACAACCACCCCCACCACCACCACAATCTACCACGCCACACCACCACCCACAACCACCACCACTACCAGCACCACCACCACCACCACCACACCACCACAACAACAAACCACCACAAACACCCACCACCACTACTACCACCACCACCACCAGCACCACCTCCACGAACCACCGCCACCACCACAACCAACCACCACCACCACAAACCACCACCACACCACCACCAAACCACCACTACCACCATAACCCACCACCACCACCACCACCACCACCACCACAAACAACCACCACCACACCACCACACCACCACCACAAACAACCACCACAACCACCACCACCAAAACAAACCACCACTCCACCACCACCACCACAACCACCACCACCGCCACCACCACCACCACCGCCACCACCACTACCACCACAACCCACTACCACCACCACCACCGTCGTCCTCGTCGACGCTCCCCGCCGCCGCCGCCCGCCGCCGCAGGCGCCGGCGCCGGCCCAGAAAAGGAAATCGTCGTCCCTGCCGCCGCCGCCGCCAGCCGAAGAGAAGGAGAGAGGGGGGGGGGAGGGGAGGGGGAGGGGGTCGAACACCCCCCCCTCCGTCACGGGAGGAGGGGGGGGGGTCGAACCCCCCCCCCTCCATCCAGGGGGGGGTGTCCCGTTCCACCCCCACCCCCCCTCAAAGCGACCACAGAACGCGCCCTTTCTGATCTCCGTTAACCAAAGATCCGCAGGCTGTCTGATCGCCACCACAGACTGCAACGGCGATGGTTGTAGGTGATGCGTGATGGAAGATGGGGAGGAGGGGATCGTCGCCACAGACTCGAAGTGGCCCTTGAGGTCCGCCCAGCCGAGCCCGTCGGGGATGCCAGAGACGATCAACCTCGTCCGGTCCTGCAGATCCAGCTCCACCTCGCGGAAGGGAGCAGCAGGGCTCAGCATGAGGGACACGGGTGCTGGCGAAAAAGCTGAGGAGCAGGCGGAGGAGGAGGAGGAGGAGGAGGAGGAGGAGGAGGAGGAGGAGGGGGGAGGGGGAGGGAAGAGGAGGAGGAGAAGGAAGAGGAAGAGGAAGAGAAAGAGGAGGAGGAGGTAGAAGGACAGGAGGAGGAGGAGGAGGAGGAGGGGAGGAGAAAGAGATAGAGGAAGAGGAGGAGGAGGAGGGGAGGAGGAGGAGGAGGAGGAGGACGAGGACGAGGAGGACGAGGGGAAGAAGGAGGAGGAGGAGGAGGAGGAGGGAGGAGGAGGAGGAGGAGGAGGAGGAGGGGAGGCGGAGGAGGAGAGGAGGAGGAGGAGGAGGCAGGAGGAAGAGGATGAGGAGGACGAGGAGGAGCAGGCGGAGGAGGAGAGGAGGAGTAGGAGGAGGAGGAGGAGGGGAGGGAAGGAGGAGGAGGAGAGAGGAGGGGGGAGGAGGAGGCGGAAGGAGGAGGAGGAGGAGGAGGAGAAAGCAGGAGAGCAGCAGGAGGAGAAGGAGGGGAGGAGGAGGAGGAGGAGGAGGAGGAGGAGGAGGAGGAGGGAGGAGGAGGAGGGGAGGAGGAGGAAGAGGGAGGAGGGGAGGGGAGAGGGGGGAGGGGGAGTAGGAGGGCAGGGAGATGAGGAGAGGGAGGGAGGGAGGGGAGGGGGAGGGAGGGAGGAGGGAGGGAGGGAGGGAGGGAGGGAGGGAGGGAGGGAGGGAGGGAGGGAGGAGGGAGGAGAGGAGGAGGAGGAGGAGGAGGAGGAGGGAGGAGGAGGGGGGAGGGGAGGACGATGAGGAAGAGGAGGGAGCAGAGGAGGAGGGAGAGGAGGAGGAGAAGGAGGAGGTGAGGAGAAGGACGAGGAGGCGCAGGACGAGGAGGCGCAGGACGAGGAGGCGGAGGCGGGAGGGGGGAGGGGAAGGGGGAGGGGAAGGGGGGATGGGGGAGGGGGAGGAGGAGGAGGAGGAGGAGGAGGAGAGGGAGGAGGAGGAGGAGGAGGAGGAGGAGGAGGAGGAATAGGAAGAGGAGGAAGAAGAGGAGGAGGAGGGGAGGAGAAGGAGGAGGACGAGGAGGAGAAAGAGGAAGTGGAGGATGGCGCCACCCTCGGCACCCTGGCGCCCTCAGCGGGCCCAGACACCGTCGGCAACGACCTCTGGGAGGAAGAGCTGGCCCCTTGGGAAAGCCCCCAGGTCCGGGACCCGTCTCTCGCAGTTGCGCCGCATATCTTACCAGCCTCGAAAATATCCCTATCCCTAAGATTGACATGCCAAAAAGCGATGACAATCTTAGGGGTTCGCCCTCAAAAATAAGGGAATCCCTAAGATTGGCATCGTGATGAGGAGATGCCCAGCACAGGGATAGGGATATGTTCCAGGCTGGTAAATATCTTCGCGGGGGCGATGCCTGTCCTGTCGCGCCGCTGTTCGCGTCGACTCGAGGTCGACTCTGCGTCGAACGTGCGTCGGATGCAAGGAAGCACCGCCGTTCACGGGAGACGCAGTGCCCCCCCACAGATGCAGCGCAACCTCCCCTGATGGCCCGTTTCCCTGAGGAACCCGCCTCCTTGAGGACCTCGATTCCCTGAGGACCCGTTCCTTTCAAGATCCATGCGCAATCACCCGCTTCACTGAGGACCCTTCCTTTGCCCCTGGCGCTGTCCGACTTGGGTCTGATGTGGACCAAAATCGACCAGATTTGGGACCGGAGTAGGACCGGACTTGGACTTGTACCGGATTCGCCCCTTCACAAGGGAGACGAGAGGAACGAGGAGAGGGAGGAGAAACAGGAGGGGCGAGGAGGAGCAGGAGGAAGGGCCAAGTGTGGTCCGAATGATGCAGTCCGCATGCACGAGAAGCTGAATGCCAATGCCGCCGCCTAAAGCTCCCACGAACAGACATCGAGCCCGCCCGCTTCCCTGTGGCGGGGAACGGCCCACCGCGCCCGAGGGCCGGCCCAGTCTTGGGGCTGTGGGGGAAAGCCATCGCCATCGGCCGAGGCCTGCCGCCATCGGCCAGGCCTGACGCCGCCAGCTGCTCGCCAAGCGCCATCCCAGGCCAGGGCCGGACAGCGTAAAGAGAAGCGGGTCCTGGAGGACCTCGGGGTCCTGGAATGGGCTCGCCGCTTTCTTGGGGGGAGGGAGAGAGAACAGGAGCGGACACCAAGCCTCGGCTGCCAGCATGCAAGCGCGAATGCCGCCACACCACTGCTCTGTAAGAGGCATCTGTAGACGCGACCAGGGACGCACAGAGAAAACGCTTGCATCTGAAAGCCAGTTTCTGACATTGGTTCGTCGTGCGCGGGCTCCTGCGGCCCACCACGGGCCCTGAGAGTGTCAGCCAAGGCCTTGGGATGAGTGAATAAGCTGGTCCTGGGGGAAAGCCCAGGGGTCAGGACCCGTCTCCCTCTCGGCACCTCTCCCCATCGCTGGGACGTCCACTCCCCGTGCCATTTGTCGATGTCGTGCGCTCCCTTTCTCGCAGGGTGCTCCCAGATGCTCCTCGATGGTCGTCGCCGGCGACAGAATGCACACGTCCGAGCCCGAGCCGTGGCCGTCCGGGGCCCTGTGATGGCCTCGGCCCCCAGGGGGGCGGGGGGGGCGGCGGACGCAGCCTGGCCCCGGCCAAGGAGGCCCGTGGCCGGGGAGGTGTAATTACATGGCAAGCTCGTGTCGTGGCGACTTCTGCGTTGGTGTCTGCCACCGTGAGGATCGCCCGATCTGGAACGATCGCGGCTCCCTGGTGACGCAACTAGTCGAACATCGGCCGACTCCGGACCGGCAGCGCTCAACCTGATTCTCGCCGCGAGGGTCGCCGCCGCCTGAACACGACACGAACTTGCCAGAGCCGCCTTCTGCGGATCAGAGCTGAGGGTCACCGACCTGCGCGCCACACGGAGCGCTCCACGCGGCTATCATCGCGCCCTCTCGCGCACTCACCCAGAAGAGCAGCCCTCAGGCACGAAGCAAGATTCTTCGCCGAGCCCTTCGGATCTCCTCGTCGGGTGGAGGGGCTGAATACGGTCCAAGAGGACCCCGTGAGGGCATGGCCTGGGGAAGGTTTAAGGGGGCCCCCAGACGCCCCAAGAGGGGCCCTGGAGGAGCTCAGGCGGCCGAAAACGGCCCAAACGTTCTTCAAACCGGCCCTCCAAAACTGGCTCCCAGATGCCCGCAAGACGGCCGATCCCAAGAGAGCTTCCACAGGCGCCACGATGGCCTCGGCAAGACGGCCCAATAGACAAGCAGGATATATTTCCGGGGGGATCCCCGCGACAGCCCCTCAGACACCTCAAGACATTCCAAGTCTTCCCAAGACAGCCCCTAGACTCTCGCTGTCCTCCAGCTAGATTGCAACATGGTCGATGGGGGCCCAGGTGAAAGGGCCCCACACGGTGGGCATTCAGAGGACGAGTCTCTCACGCAAGGCTCTTCCACGATGGGGCTCCGCATGCGCTTGGGGACCTTCCAACAGGGCCCCACGCGGTCCACTGCGATCTGGTTCCACGCCAACTCGTCCGGTCCTCATGTAGAAGAAAGAAACACGCCATAAACATAAACTTTTGGCGCTCCGCGCGGATTTCTTGGATCTGCGATGCACCCCCTCCCTCCCTCGCGCGCGGAGCGCGCCTGGGGTGGCGCCGGAGGCGCCGCCGGGGGGGGAACAGCGCAGATCCAAGAAATCCGTGCGGAGCGCCAAAAGTTCTGTTTATAGCGTTTTTTTTCGATCATGTAGAGTTCGGGTGCCACACGACAACGCCTGTCACAACAAGCGCGGAGAGATTGTTTTGTTTTTCGCTGCCTGGGCCCTGTTTTGAGTCTCTGCGGCGCTGGGCTGCCTCGGGGGAAGTGGTCCATCTCCTGTCGTCGTTCGTGAACGTTTCTGCGTCGGCGAGCGTCGGATTCGTCCTGTCTGAATGAATCGTGCACGCTGCACACACACTCACATCCTGGGCGCAGCTGCAAGCACAAACGCGTCGCACGCGCCAAGAAAAAGACGGCGCTTCCCCTTTCGAAATCTGTTACGTTGGTCCGTCGTCAAGTGATCTGCGTCCGTGAACCGTGGTGCGGTCTCGCCTGCCTGCCAACCGCTCTGGGCATGCCGAAAACTTGCCCTGCCCATACGCACCATGGCACGCGCGGCGTACCACTGGGGTCCCTCGGCCGCTGATACGTAGTAGCATCATTACCCGTAGTCGTATTAGTAGCATTATTACCACGACTAATCTTATCATCCTTATTAGGATCATTATTAATATCATTCATTATTATTCGTATTCTTATTATTTCGGGCACCGGTGAGATGCATGGCGTCCGTGAGCGCGGGGGATGCTCAATTGACCCCTCTGGTGCATTCCGCGCACAAGATGCACCCCGTCGGCACGCATCGCTGCGCCGGCGACGCGGCAGGCTCTCGGCGCCCACTCCGCAAGGACTGCCTGCCTCTCGCACGTGCTTGCCCGCCTTCGCCGGTGTCGAACGGCTCGCCATCCGTTTGGGCGCGGTGGTAAGTCCCCCCCAGCCGTTTGGGCGCGGGTGGTTCAGCGAGCTGGCCCGTCCGGCCGAATGGGCACGTGGACTCTCTCTCTCCGACTCCGGGGCACGCGCGGGCGCCCCGTGGCCGCTCTGCGCACGGGGGGTTCTGACGGGGGCGGCGGCGGGAGCCGCATGGTGCTTGCGGCGCGCACGCCAACCACTGGCCATCGCTCGGACGTCCAGTTCCTGTGTTTTTGTTCGGTTTCGTGCGCGGTTTCTTCGCGAAGTGATCAGGGATGCTCCTCGAGGGTCCTCGCCGAAGAAAAAAAAAATGCACACGTCCGAGCGACGCCAAGCCACGAGGGCTTGGCATGCTGCGGTCGCCAGCGGCAGCAGCCCCGCCCGCACTGGCACTGGGCGCCCCGCCAGGACCCGCTGCTCTCGCGGCAGGACCACGCTCGGTGCCCGATCTGCCGCACACCCCCCAGGACGAG